CACGAAGTAATTATCGTTAAAGCGCTTAACTCGCTTATATTTCTAGTTTCGATTTCTAGACCGATTTCGACAATATTTCAATACGCAAAGCTTTCAAAACAAGTAATAAATAACCCACCCCCTTTTGCACCCACATTCGTATTTTCTATGAGAACCAAAGACATAGAGACGTCACAAAGCCATTAAAACTTTATTATAAAAAGCCAGACCCAAATGAGCTCGGATTCATTCAATTTTAATTATTTAAGGTGCAAGTATTTATTTTCAATTATTTGATGTGCAAGCATTCATTTATTATTTGTATCCAGTTATATTTCAAGTTCAGTAATCAGTACCTTTCCTAAAACGCTCTTCCTAAACGACGTCTATCCTACAATACCTCCTATCCCCGAAGGTGTCAACGTCTCGACGCCCAACGCCCTACTCCCTACGTCTCGAACGCTGTCACATTCCTCATCATTTAAGTATTTCCTACCGTACACTCATTTCGACGCTCAACGTCCCACGCCTTATTTCCGACGCTTGTCGTCCCCAAATATTTCCTTCATAAAATCACGTCCGCACCACCTACATAATTCTACCGTATATCTGTTCCAATACAGTACAGTATTAAATACCTTCCTTTCCACCACGACGCTAGGCGCATCGACGCTACGCGCCTCGACGCTCAATGCTGCGACGTACCTAAATCGACGCCTTCCACGACGCTAGATGAAATTAGTACATAATCTAATGTCTGTATTTTCAGTGGTGAAAGATTTATCTAACTTTCTTTGAGATATCACCCCGGTTTCGTTTAAGGGCGGCTTGACATTTGCTACAAAATATCAATTTAACCAATAAACCACATGGCCTTCAGGTCATACACCCTGAAAGACACTTAGGATAACATCTGTTTGGATGGGTGAAATTTTGAGTATTTTAATAGAAATGATAAAATCAATATTAAGAAATATACAGGGTTGTATTAAGTTATTTCAATAGAAATTATAATAATCAATAATAAAAATATACAGGGTTATATTAAGTCATGTCAATAGAAATTATAAAAATCAATATTTTAGAAATATACAGGGATGTGCTATCTTGGATAAATTGTACAAACCAAGATGGTAAAATTTAATAGTAAGTTAACCAACTGGAGAATACGCTGTTCGTTAGCTCAAGGGGGGACACCTATATGCTAAGCAACCCGTTCTACAAGGTTTGAAACAAAGTATATGTGAAATCAACATAGTAAGGTAATAAACTGGCGAATTGGCGCTGTTTGTTACTTCCGTTGGTCATCACCTCTATACTCATCGTAATATTTACCTAAGAAGGTGCAACCTGTATATATGTAGAATAGAATCAAATCAACTTCAACTCAATAGTTAACCAACTGGCAAATTGGCGCTGTTCGTTAACTTCATTGGTAATCAACTTAGATAAGAATATAAACAACAACACAATAGTTAACCAACTGGCGAATTGGCGCTGTTCGTTAACTCCGTTGGTCATCAACCTAAGTCAGAATATAAACAATAACACTATAGTTAATCAACTGGCGAATTGACGCTGTTCGTTAACTTCGTTGGTCATCAACCTAAGTAAAATATATATTGATAGCAAATGAATATGGTCTGCGTTTGAACGGGACTCAAGTAAGATCTCAGTAAATAGTAACAATTGCAATATAATTTGCTAATTAGTGCATCACATTTAAAGTATGAAAAATAAAAAGGAGTTTAAATATGAATTTGTATGTTTTATTTATCAATTTGCACCAAACTTTGCATCGAATCCTGGTTTACCTTAATTAACATTATCACAACGTGGGTATATAAATTATCAATTAATTAACTAGACGATCATTTTTACTACTAGAGGAAAAAAGACCAATTACAGTAAGTATAGAATTTAAAGTAAAACTTGTGAGGTAAATAATAACATTCAAAGAATAAAACACAAGAACAAATCAAAAAGAAAAGGGGGCCTGGGGGGTGACCGTCACAGGTCTATTAAGTTTTCTACTTTCCAAAACTAATTTTCCACCTTTTCAACATGGTCAATGCATTTTCTCCAAAATGTTCTCCATTTACATCTGAAACTGCCTTCAAATACAAATTTCGCACATCAAGTAATTTAAATATTATATTGTTTCGAAAAACATAACCTTCTAATAATGACCAGATCAGTTCAACGGGAATTTCAATTCTTTTTTCTTGGGCCATCTCCTCTATAATATATTTTTTGAATTTGTGTTTATGTTGCCTTGCTATTATGAGTAATTCCGCCTTCAAAGATTTAGGAGGACTGATAATATTTTTAGAATGAATCCATTTTGAAATATCTTCTTTCTTTTTTCATCTTGTTGTAGGTATATAGTGACTCCTTTGCATTATCCAAAACAATTACGGAGTTGATTGGATTTTTTTTATAATGTTCTGAAACCAATTTTCAAACATAGGGCCATCCATTTCTTCATGGTAGTATTTTGTAATCTTTGATTCGAACATTAATTAACCATCTGGCAAAATTCCATCGGTTCTTCCTATGTGGATTATTATTAAAAGATTTTCTTTTCCTGTTAGATTTTTTAATCCACCAGAGACCCCTTTCATAAAGGCTCATTTTTAGTTTTAATGGAGGTATCTTGCCAAATTTTTGTTACTGTATCTCCAGTATTAAACCATGGTTCACCTAAATAAAATATTTGTTTATGATTCCTTGCGTCCGCTATTTTCCTTAAATACTCTTCTCTCCATGCAATGATTTCGTCTTTTTCTGTTAAAAAGCTATTTCTTTCATGTTTTTTGTAACGAAAATTTAATTCATGTAATATTTTTTGCAGATGTAAATATGACATATTTAAAAGACCTGTACTACATTCTGCAAATTAAATTCCTGAACTTCTTTCTTTTCTAGACTAAAGTATGTCAAATATTCTGAATCTATGTTAAAATATTAAATTTTGGTCACTATTCTTTAAATATCAATAATATATCCTGCATAAAACGGTGCGCCACTGGCCTATATCAAATATTAATAATTATTATTTTTAAAAAATGTCTTCATTATAAATTTAAAATGGCTTATGTGATTATGCTTAAAATTGGTATAGTAACAGTTTTAAGCGACAAAAAAAACATATCAAATGAATAATATTAATCCATAGGCGTAGAACTTGATTTTTTAATAATTGTACTTTTAAAATTCCTACGCCAACAGAAGAGGCTTGAGTATGAAATTTTGACTGCTTATGGTTTTGAAGAAATTCATGAATTAGTAAATACAGTTTTTTTTTATAAAAATTTGAAGTGTAAATTTCGTCAAAATCATAAGAGTTCTATCAAGATTACATTTTTTTGTAGTAAATCAGTTATGCAATCCAAATTTCATACTCAATCCCCTTTTCTTCCATTGGATTATAAATTTTAAATGTACAATTATTGAAAAAATTAACTTTGCACCAAGGTAAGTTTACTTAAAACTGCTTATTTTGGTCTAAGGAATATGTGGTGGTTTTTTAAAGAACACGTATAAATAAAAAATAAGAAAAAACTGCTGAAATCCGTCAAACACGAAAAATTTGATTTACAACGTAAAACCATTTGGATGTTATTGTCGAATCACTTATTTTTGGATGTTCCATAACTTCTAAAAATATAACTGGATCACTTTTTAAACTAAAATAAAATTGAAAAAGAAAATATAGACACATATAAAAGAAAAGGTCAATATGTAGGTATATTGTATAAAAAAATGCCCTGTTAGAATAGACATTTATCAAATGATTAATTTCCTTAAATAAATTTACTTCATTTTAAATTTATCTACTTTGATCCAGAAATAGAAAACATTTCCAATGAACAAATAATCTTATCAATAAGCCTATGAGCTTTTTTAATGAATTAGGTAATTGCTGAAAAAGATAAATGCTATACAGGATGTGTCTAGTTTGCTATTGCTCATTTTTAAAAGAAATAAACTGGATTAAAAAATATCTCATATTGAAGATGGTTTAGTAAAGGCAGAAACAGTGCTACAAATGCCTAAAAGTGAAGTTTAATATGAACCTGTGATATGATATCATTAAGGATCTTTAAACTTATTGATTTACAAAATGTTAGTCCTTCAGAGCCTTGATAATGCATTGATAAATATTTCGTACAGGATTTAAAATAAGTGATGATAAAAGTGACAAAAACATTTAGAACTGGATTAAAAATATAAATCTTAAACAGAATTCAATGTTAATCAATTAAAGAATTAATCAATGATAGAACAGAACAAGTACTTGTCTTTATTAGTTTCAACAAATTAATGTATATCAAATCCTAGACAAAACATTTAGTAATATAACATTATGGATACTTTATGCTACCCAATATCACATTCTGCATACAAAAATGTAATGGGACTGTATGGTACCTACCTCAAAGCCTTCTCTACTACTTCAGCTGATCTACTACTCTAGCTGGTAGTTTTTTAAGGTCATGTTAATTATTACTCATTGTTTACAAACACATGAATTACAATAAACAATAGTTTTACCATATTTAAAAATTGTATAATAATTCAGTAATAAATATTTTTCATATACAAGGCAAAAGATTACATAAAACGATAATTGTGTCACCCAAACATTATTTAAATTTTAATCATTTTAAAATATATACCTGGTTGTTTTTATTTCCTCTCCTTTATGAGCATTTACAAAAATCTTTGCTATTTATTTCAATAATCAAAAACATCTTTGATTGGTTACTCACAGATAAGAAATTTGATCATGCTCAAAATAAGCAATGTTATTGGATTAAATTATATTGAACATTGACAAAAATGTAGCAAGTATTTAGTAAATGATATGCTGATTATAGCTCAATTTGCTACATGTTTGTAAACATAAATACTAATAGTAGGACATATCACATTTATAAAATCTTTGCCTGTTAGAAACACCTGAAGTCAAGCTTTTGACACAGTTTCTTTTATGAATTCTTGGAGAAAACTAATACCTTATTATGGGGCAAGACAATGAAGGCACCTCCCCCAGCACTTTCGACGATTATAGCCAAAAACTTGGGGTTCACAGCACAGAAAGTAGAATCCCATGAACTTTTCGATACACGTACATTATCGTAGCACTGTTCCCTTTTTAAAGCTTGACCATATACATGCCGAAACTTCGAACTACGTACAACACGGAAAGACATCTGCAAATATAGAAAAAAACAGCTGTTTTTATATTTTTAACAAGGGTTGAAAAAAATATTTCCTTTAAAAATGTACGCACCTTGGATTTTTAAGTAATTTCCTACTAGCGAAAAGTTAAACAAATAATTACATCTAAATTTTATACAGAATTTAAAAAAAGAATATTTTTAACAGACACTTCATATCTAGTTCACATTAGTTTCAAGAAATCCCCATATTTGGTTATGCGAAATTTTTAAAACGTCAAAAGTGTATGTGGCGCTACTCGTCGACAGAATCTCGCATTAATTACCACTTCAGTAGGAAGCTACTTTATCTTTTAATACAATTTTTGATGTTGTAACATTTCAATTTTTATTTTTCAATCATTCTTTTGGGAAATAAATTATAAAGGGTAATGTTGTAGTTGACGGGTCTAGAAATGCGCATATTCACACCACTCTACACTTGCCGCGTTTGAGAATCCACATCGGATGCATTTTTTACATCTCGAGCGTTTTTTTATCCACATCGGACACATCTACTACATCTACATCTGCGTTTGTTTATCCCAGATGTACCTGTTCAGATTACATTTTTTACATCTCGATTTGAAATGAGATGTGAATGAGATGTTCGTTCCATGCCAGAAACTAAGTGTTCTGTGAAGCCTTGTTTGTCAATTTTTCCTTTGTTTATGCTAGCATGAATATAAAAGTGATTAGTTTGTTTAATTTTTGTTTATATTTCAAATTTAGGTTGATTTGTGGTCTCAAAAGTCAAATTTAATAAGTATAAACTTCTAACTTGTCATTGACATTTTATCACGTGACCAAATAAAGTCTAGAGCGTTTGTTTATTATAGGTCTGTTCTGGTTTTGAGAAATAACGATCCACAACTGTCGGGCTCATGCGCAGTAGATATAAAGTGTTCTGGTTTTTCTGGGACTACTTCGGATCTCTCAGTCCAGTGTTCTGGTTTCGTATCCGAAATAATCCGTGATTGTTGTAAACAGTCAAAAAGTGTTCATGCTTGGGAGTGTGGATCGACTCGGACTGTTTTGACCGCGCATGCGTTTTTGAAGTGTTATGAATATTGTATTGGCTTTTTAGACCATACGAAACGTATACAATCCCAAATTGTTTATTTATATGTGGACGAATGTCTCTTGTTCTTGTTTTATTTGTAAATTAAAGCAATTTTAGAATTATTAATTTTTTAATATTCTGTTTTTATTTATTCCATTGAAATGTGATGATAATGATAAACATATACATGTAAATGTTATTTGAAGCTGAGCTTTCAAAAGGAACTTCATTATTATAATAAACAATAAACAAAACACCTTCATGACGTGTTCTGGTTTTCCAAGAATTTCAAACAGTCGGGGATTTTTTGCCTTTACGCATACGGTCCGGCGCAGTTTCAAAACAGTTTTCATTTTGAGAACCAGAACAAACCTTACATCTACATTCAGATCTAATTCTCTATCACGTGATAAAAAATTCACAACATCTCAGATGCATCCGATGTGGATTCTCAAACGCGGCAACTGACTTCTAGAATTTGAATTTGCTCAAGCCACGGTGCCAAATCTCCACTTTCATTTTAGCTTGCTTTATTTCATAGTTTATTATTTAGATAAATTGTAAACTCTGTAAATTAAAATGTATGATAAATAAATATAAAGATTTATATTATATTTTGAAATAACAATTCTGTTTTGTTTTATAAGACAGTTTTGATAGATTTTATATTTATATTTTGTAATTATCACTATTGAAAGGTATTATTGACATAAAAAATAACGATCGTATTACTTGAAAATCTTTAGAATTTTTTTATTTTTATGGGATTTTTAATCGATGTAAAAATTGGTAAATAGATGATTAAAAGTAAAATAGTTATTTCAATCTGCTTATTCCCTGGTTCCAAATAATTAAATATAACCTGGCAACTATGTAACGATTCCAACTGACAGAACTAGCCGGAACAGCAATGGTGCGGACTGGCGCATTTCCAGGGGGGCCCAATTCCTGACGCCTTCGTTAACTTATCGCATGCGATAACGTATGCGACTTGATGAAAGTGTATTCCTGAACTGGCGGCATTCGTCAAATTTATTAACGTATGCGCTAAGAAATGATGATTTTCAAAGAGCGCTCATGACCGTTCGACAACTACTTTGTCGCATTCATTTAGGTGAAAGTAAGGTTATAATTGTCAATTAATCCTGCTTTATCATATGTGATTCGTGTTTCTATCTATTGGTTTTGTTTTGTGATTTATTATTGGGAAATATTTATTTTTAATTTGACTCTATTGAACATTTTATTAGAATATAAAAATGAAACTTTTTGTACCGTGAACTCTTTTATTGGACGTTTAGGTGCCACTTTATTTTGGTGTATTTTATTTAGTATGGATGATATAGAAGAAATATGAGTTTTACAGGCACTAAACAATGTTATAAATTCTACTAAAGTTTCACGCTGTTTTTCCGTTATTCGTGAACCACGCTGTTCCATTTTTAATATTCTAAATCTAAACCACTCCAATTCTCAAGTCCAAAATGCAAATAATCACAGTTAAAACATCCAAAAACCAAAAATTATTAGACATCTGCAATCCATTTAATTTTATAATTTTTGCATTTTTGGCAATTTTGACATATGTCAATGCAATTATCTCATATTCAGTGATACCATCTTTGGTATTCTCAATCCTCATTGGTTAAGACTATGCAATAATCAAAGACTCTTCGTTAACACGTTCGACTTGATTCGCGATTATCGCATGGTGTTCAGGAATACTAAATTGCTGTCGTGTGCGTTAACGACCATGCGTTACTTAGCGCATGCGGCAGTTAACGCATGTTTCGAGAATTGGGCCCCTGGACCCTTCAACTACAACATTACCTTATAAAGTATTACCAGGAGTGCGTTTAGAAACCCCGCACGGCGCGTCTCACCACATACATTAGAATAGGGTCCAGACGCGCCGTGCGTGGTTTCTAAACGCACTCTAGTATTACATTTGACCACCGACTTGATGTAACTTGATATTAAACTTGGTACATAAACCCTACTCCTAATTTATAAGCCGACATAGGTAAAAAAATGGTCGGTGCGCATGACAATTTGGACGCCAGATTGTCAATTTCGAGCATTCTACTTCACGTTTCCCACCGGGGTACTACGATAAGTTATAATATTTTCTATTAATAATGCGCTATTTTAATAATTATTATTATTGGAACATTTGTTTTAGCTTCGTATTAATCAAAAAATAATTTTTAAGTGATTTTTTAAATTAAAAGGTGTAGTAGTTAAATGTTATAATTGTTAAATTTAATTTTGATGTTCCTTTGTAGTGCATTTCAATTCGCACGTGTGGGCGCCAGAGTGTCAAATATCACCTTGCTATTGCCGCGTTTGAGAATCCACTGTCGCGTTTGAGAATCCACATCGGATGCATTTTTTACATCTCGAGCGTTTTTTTATCCACATCGGACACATCTGTCCCATTACATTTACGTATACTGAATCACGTGATCAAAGATTTAGTACATCTCATGCCGCGTTTGAGAATCCACATCGGATACATCTGAGATGTAGTAAATCTTTGATCACGGATTCAATATACGTAATGCTGCGTTTGAGAATCCACATCGGATGCATTTTTTAAATCTCGAGCGTTTTTTTATCCACATCGGACACATCTGTCCCATTACATTTACGTATACTGAATCAGGTGATCAAAGATTTTTCACATCTCAGATGCATATCCGATGTGGATTCTCAAACGCGGCATAAATGTAATGGGACAGATGTGTACGATGTGGATAAAAAAACGCTCGAGATGTAAAAAATGCATCCGATGTGGATTCTCAAACGCGGCATCAGATGCAGCATCCGATGTGGATTCTCATGCCGCGTTTGAGAATCCACATCGGATGCAACTGAGATGTAGTAATAAATCTTTGATCACGTGATTCAGTATACGTAAATGTAATGGGACAGATGTGTCCGATGTAAATAAAAAAATACTCGAGATATAAAAAATGCATCCGATGTGGATTCTCAAACGCGGCATATGTGGCTTGATTTTGTTGATCGGCTTTGTTCTTCCAGTTTAATATAAAGTTCAATGCATTTTACACGTATTTTTTTCAGATATAGAGCAGTATATAGTGGAAAAGCAGCATATGCTATCAAAAATAGCGTAATTTCACTTAATTTTAAAAATATCCCAAATAATAATTTTATGTGAAGGGCCGATTCCACCGTTGTGTTAAACGACGTTTAAATAACTGAGGGCCAATTCCACCGTTGTGTTAAACGAAGATTAAAATGACATTGTTAGTGTAAAAAAATCTATTTTGCACTTATAGAATCATTATTACGCTATAGGATCCTTTCTTGGAAAGGTGTTTTACCTGCTTATGCAAAATTGTCCTGCAAAAAATATTACTAATAATATTATGTAACAAAATGATCAGAAATTCTCTTCGATATTAGGAAGTTTTATATATACTCCAACAAAAACATCTAAGAAAGAAATATCACAGCAGTGTGACCTAAATATAAGTATAGGATATTTAATTTTTAACATTTATTTTTCAAACCTTAATAATTTGTAAAATGTAGATTAATAAAGACATTGTCATAATAAAGACGTAAAAAAGTCAATATTTTTTTTAATACATTATTGCTTTGATTTTTCAAATGAAATCCCTCTATAAATTATCCCAAAAATATTTTCATATATTTATCCCACCCAACATGCAATTTTAAAGTAAAATTTATTTACATAATGAAGGTTAATAAAAAAAAATGCAAACTTCTCGCAAGAAAATAACAATTCGTTAAAATGAGAGAAATCGGTAAATTTAGATAATATGCAAATGAGAATTTATTTTCAATTCTACGCCCCTTTATGACAGTACGTCACTGGGAGACCGGAACACGGACCGGAAACACTTGTCGCCATATTCGTTTAGTTCACTGTCAAAATTATATACCATGGCGATTCCAAGGTCGTTTAGGATTTCTCCTTCCTGACTATATATATTCTAAGGTAAAAATAATAAAATGAAAAATTTCTAAACCGATTCTGTAAAAAATTGAGACAAAACATAAACATTGCGTGTATTAGATAAAGAGAAAACTACGCCCAGTTAAAACCCGCTTTTCGTTGTCTGATTTACATATGGATCAGCAATCTATATAACTATATAGCATTGAAATAAATCAATATTAGCGACATCTGTGAGCATTTTTGAAAATCGACCAACCTCACAATCTGTAATCTGTCAGTAGTCAGTAATGTCGTTTCACTCGTTTCAGTTACACCTGTCAAAAAGTGTCAAATTGTAGTGGGGCTACTGGTAAATGGTTCACGGTTCGATAAAATAATATTAAGAAAAATGTTAATTTTCAAGTGTTTTTAAAAAAGTTTAGATGGACAGTAACGTGGAAGAAGGTGCAAAGATGAAGGCAAAATCGACGAAGAGAATGGTAGGAATGATCATAAGATCTAGAAAATCAATCGCGAAGGATGCCGTTGTTACGGTAAGTGATACCTTACATAAATAATGATAATAGTGATGTGCCCATACAAACTTTGATTTACAAATCAATTCAACATTGTTTTTGTATATGATTAGTTCAAATAACAAAGCTGGTAGATTTTAAAAAACATGTTTTTGGACTTAATAATATCTACGTACTGCGCGTTGCTGGGAAAATCCCGATGAATTTCATTTACATTTTTCAGTCTATGCCAATACTTGGTGGGTTTTTAGATGAATGTTTATAATTTTATAACTCACGGCCGTTAAATACGGAAATTTACAGTCTTACAAAAGTGTCCAGCACAATAGCATCATAAAACAATGTTTTAGTATACCATTAATGAAAAATCTGTTATTACGTCGAAAATCTGGCTGTTTAAGTACATTTAGACGTTATTAATTGACTTTTAATTGAAATGAAAATTACTTTTAGAACTGTTGTAACATCTTGTTTCTAAAGCAAATATTTCAATCCTCTGGATTTTTTTAGAATTTTCTAAGAAATTACATCTTTAATTTACTGATAAATCAGTTTATCATTAACACAGTTATCAGTAAAAGACAGTATTTTTTATTGAGATATTACTGATAAAAAAAAAGTAAATAAAAATGTAGATAATGCAACATTCTAAAATTTTTGAACATGTAATATTTGAAAAATCCTTTATCCAGTTGCATTTATTGATTGTGCATAATAAACCTGAGTAAAAACAGATGCAAATTCAATTTGTCTGTGTGATTTAACAGAATCGTTAAAGTGTTAAATTGACATGTTATACACAGACCATTTGATAAGGTAAATCATAATGTTTTATTAGGAAAACTAGAAGGTTTTGGTTTCAGTAAAAATTTTATAATATCTAACTAATCGTAATAATATTGTTAAATATAACAATGTAGTATGAAACACATTTACAATTACTTTAGAAATACCATAGGGATCCATACTCAGATCTCTAATTTTCATCCTGTTTATAAATGATATCAACGAGGATATCAATGAATAGGTACAATAAATCATCAACATTTTTACTATTTGCACATGACATATTATAAAACAATTTTTAAAAATTAGCTTCCCTAAGGGTGTAGATGTCCTTCATGTCCCCCCTCCCTCCCCCTTTCATACCATATGAATTAGAAATATTTTTATGTTAAATAAAACAACAAATTATAGAAAATAAAAGAAATTTGGTTTTTCTTAGTTTTACAACCTAACACACTAATAAATTATTACTTTATTAATATAATAACCAAATAAATAAATAAATACAAAAAAATATCTATTAATAATACTTAACAGTCAAAAAGCATAGACAAACTTTGATTTTTTTGTCTTTTTTATTGAAAATTCTGTTAAAGTATCAGATACACCTAAATCTTCTGAAATGTCCTTTTTAATACTAATAATAGACAAGTCTGAAAGCCTTTCCTTTCTCAAATATTTTTTTATTATTTTAAGTTTCGAAAAGCTCTTTCTCCACTAGCCACAGTTACAGGCAATGTTAAAAAAATTAGGCAAATTTTTCAGCATTTTTAGATTGTCAAACAAGTAATTAAATAGTAATCAACATAAAATAAATAATTAAACCGTAAAAATAATTCCATACATCATAAAAAATATTGTTAATTTTATATTTACATTTAAAAAAAAATAGAATAAAAGAATTTCGGCAAATTGGCATTTTATTTGTAAAATAACAGCTTGTTCCAACATTTAGTTGTTAGGGCTCGTAGTGTATTTGGTAAACATTGTATTAATAAAGTTATTTTTATGGCAGTACTGGCAAATGTCGCATAATAATCAATAAATGCATTTGCAATGTCAGTTTTATCAAAGTTTTGTTAGAAACTTGAATTTTTACAATTAGTTTTACCTCTTACAGTGTTTGCAGTGTTCTAAATAGGTTTCTGTTTTTGAGTATTCTTATCTTTTAAATTATTTGCAAAGAAATGTAATAAACTTGGCCAAGGGTTGATAATAAAGTCACACAGATTAAATATCCACTCAGGATTATTTAAATAAATCAGGATTTACTTTAGAATTACTTTTATTGTAATAGCAACACAGTGGGCTTCACACAGAACAACCAATAATAAAAATGTTAACTGTCATATATCAGTGTACAGTACCAACTTAAAATATTAAATATTAGTTAGGCATTTTATAGAGGTTCTAACAGAAAGTTCTTTTAGCACAATTAACTTTATTAGTGTACATTTTCTTTTGTGTTTTGTAATTGTGCAAAACTTTTGCATTAGAACAATTTTTTGAGAGCCAGAACAAGTTTTTCAGATCCTCTCCCATCTTTAAAATTTAATGATTGATCCATTTGTTATACAAGTAATTTTGGTCACTATTTTTATTTATATTTATAATAGGACAAGTTAAATTTTAGTAATACATGATTGTATTAACAAATTTTTCAAAAGTATTGGACTAAGTAATGAATTTGTTATGTTTCTAGTATATAAAACACATATTTTTGTCTAAGAACTTTAAGCGCATCTATTCTGCTTTCCCATCTAGCATCTGAAAAGGGTTTAAGTTTTAAAGTTGGGATTTCATATTTTAAGACCTTCCAACCTTTAGTTGATGTTGAGAAGAAAATGTATAGCTCCTGTACAATTACAAAAAAGATTGTAATTTCTAAAGACGCTTTTGCAGCATCATTAACAACTAAATTTAAACTAGCGGCCGCACAAGGCACATTAAAAGCTTTAGGATTTAAGTAAAGAACTTTTTTTTTAAACATTTATTGCGATCCTTCATATTCGCACCATTACCATAACCGTGTCCCCTTAAATCCCCCAAACAAATGTAAGTTTCTAAAAAAATCTAATAAAACATTTGTCGAATCTGGTATTGAAATAAATCCCAAAAAATGCTCCCTAATTTCTATTTGCTTTATTATTTAATAGAACAAATCTTACTACAACAGTAAGTTGTTGGTTTTGGTGGCATATCAGGGGTGGAATCTAAAATAATAAAATAATATTTACTAACTTTTAAAAGCAATATTATTTCATGCCTTATATTTTGCCCCAAAAGGGAACCTAAAAGGCAAATAAGTTCATTTTGAATATGAACACCTAAATAATGAGCCATATTTGATAGATTTCTGCTAATTGTAGTAAGGTGATCCGCTATCCTACCATTAAACTTTGCATTTTTCAATTAATTTTAAAAATGTTCCATTTTGTTACTCATATAACTTATTGTTCTTGCCTCTAAATCTTACATTTTGACCCTCTAAGAATTTAACCATATAAATTATAATTTTTAACAGGGGAACACATCTACCATAATTATTAATTTCTCATTAAAAGAATTAGCAGTTGTTTTAGAAGAAATTGATTTATTTAAATCAATCCAAGATTGTATATATTACAAATGTGACTTTTTGATTTTTTATGACGTTCTATAAACTGAGTTAAATCGTTATATCCCTCCTCAACAAAGGCACCAGAAAAACTTTTAAATAATTTGCATGGAAAACAAAATATTCAATCTTTTAATTTAGAGTACACTAGCCAAACTATTGGAATTATTTCCCTGTTGTTTTTTTTTATAATAAATAGATGAGAAACCTCTGTTATCTTTATTTAACGGAAAGTTTACATCCGCTTCTGTAAGTTGAGTAGGGCCGAACTCTACTAAAGTTAACTTAATTTGGTTCGATAATACACAAGGCCAACCTAGAATCTTTATAAACATATGTATAAGAAACATGAAAAATATCTTCAGAACTTACTTCTTTGAACCAACCTCGATCTTCTGAGGCGTAGTTTCACTGGTTTCAGGACTGCCTTCTGCAATTAAAACATCTTCCTTGGGGTTTGTGATTTTGGTCTCCGTCCCAATTGGATCTTGGGAATTTGATGGCGCCTTGTGCAATCCTGAGATTAAAAATGTTTTTATTGAACTGCAAACATTCTTTAGTAATTCTTCTTTTTCAAGTTCCACCTCTGTCATTTGAGATTAAATATGAAGCACATTGTTTTAACAACTCGGGATTGACTGGTGATGGTTTTTAAGTGACAAATATTCTTTCCCAGTTTAATTGGGATGTTTTATTTGTGAACAAGAGTCTTGAGGATATAATTAATATCTTTTATGACATTGTGTACCTGACAATTGATATTTTTGTTCCTTTAAAAAAATACTCAGCGAAGAAGTTTCCAGTTTAGTTTTCCACAGAGCTAAAACAAACGATAATTAAAAAAAAAGAAAATACAAAAAATACTTGGACAGTAGATCACTAAATGATTATAATGAATTTTCTTTATTAAGGGCTCACTGTAAACACAAAAACAATGTTATCGGAGTTATGTTACATTAACGGAATTGTCTCTTTTTGGATATTTGTAAACAGTAGGAAAGACAAAAGTAATATACCTTCGGTAATGCACTATGATAATACCACTCACTAGTTCCTCTGGCATAGAGATTGTCAATTTGTTTGCTGAGTATTTTTCTAAAACTTATAATGATAAGGATGTAATATCTATGTAACCATACATCTTAGGTTGTCACCTTGGTACCCCAGGTTGGTAACGATGATTGTCTTCAGTCAGTGTCAATCTTGGTTAATGATGATAACTTGTATTTTATGATGTTCAAAAGCTTATGTAGTTTTAATAAAGATCACAATTAGTTAGAAGCCATCGCTTTATTCAAAACAGTGAAATCACTACAAGGATTATAATTTGCACTGTACTTTTGTAACCATAAAGTTTTAATTAATAAGATGCAGAGTTTGGGAATTCAGGGGGAACTGCTTGAATGGCTATCTTCTTACCTTACTGAAAGAATACAGATAGTGCATATTCAGGGCTTCCAATCAATAGGAATTAAAGTATCATCAGGTGTACCCTGATGGGTCTTCTTCTATTTAATTTATATGTGAATGATATTGCATCCTGTTTTGTCTTTGCCCTATTCCTAATGTTTGCAGATGATTTAAAATTATATATGAGAATAAGAACGAATCTGAT